TTCCTGTTTTCTTTTTTGACTTGGTTGACAGAAGTGTGGTTTCTGATAGGCAACTCATCTCATGATGCATGTCAAGAGATATAAGAATAAAATTTATTCTTCCCAAGAATGTATGAGGTGTTGCATCAACTCAGAATTCCTCCCTCAAGCCTGTCTATGTAGTTGTAGCTGCTACAAGATAATTTTCTTCTGGCTGAACTGCTTTGTTGTCTCCACTGGCTGAGAAGTTGCTGTGACTGTTCTGGGAGTGATTAAGCGCCTTCAGCCAATGTCATGGTTGTGCCTTTGTCAGTACAAAAGCTTACCATTTAGGTTTCGTTAAATAAATAAACCCTCCTCCATGTGAAATGTGTTGTTAAGTATTCTAAATGCTTTATAGAAAATATATGCATCTTTCACAGTGTGCTCCATTAGTGCTCTCCGTAAATATTTTGGCAGTTGGAGCAGTGTAACAGTGGGGTAATGCAGTCAGATCACAGTAAGAGGATACAGGGTGTGCTCTATAGGAAACAACAGGCTGTCAAAAATATAGTATACATCTGTTTGAAATGCACCACTGAAATTTTTGTAGTTTTTACTTCTTGGCTCTATAAAAATAATCTTTAGAGGAATTCAGTGAACCTTTTTTTCATGTTTTCTGTTCCTTATGTATTGAAGTTTGTTCTACACACAGTAGCTTACCTTTGTGATATTTCTGTCTGTCATTTATGATTTATTTTTATTGGAAACCCTGTGGAATTATGTGTTTTTATGAATCACATTCTATAGTCTCAAGTTTTGGCTGAAGGTAGTTTAGCATGGACCATATGTAAGGTGTAAGAAACACTGTATTCTGGCATTGGTTTTTTATATAATTCCTTACATTTTGAGATAATTCTTTTTGATTTAAATTGAATATTTTTGTAATTTTTCTGACTTATAATGACTTTCAGCAGAAGGTCTATTAGAAAATGTGAATTCTCGTCTTAGTAAGTCTTGCTGCTGCTTTATTTTTAACCACATTTTTTTCTCATAAGTGGTCTGCAGCTGTGAAAACATCAGTAAAATGTAATGTCATCATACATTTGATCAACCATAAATCTCGATATTTGGACTGTGAAATTTTTGAAACATATGTTGTTATTAAAAGGACACTATCATGTTTATAATCGTCCTTGAAAGCTTTCTTTGCCTATAGGATTTGTCTTTTGCATTTGACACATCTCTGTATTCCCCTTTTGAAAGTAGTTGAAAGTAGTGCTGCTATTTTTATTTCCTCATTTGTTTGATGACAAAAGAAATTTTTATGATTCAAAATAGAAACTCTTGATCTTAATTTCCCATTGTTGGAGCGGGCAAGTGGGGCCTTTTAAAAACAAACAGAAACAGTGAATGTGTTTCTGTTTCTGCCTTAACTATTTATGTAGAAAGCTTCAGGATCTTCTGCCGCTACTGGAGTATTTGACATTTAACAAAATGTGTATAATAATACAAATAACAGCTTGTGTTGCTGGTGTAGTTTGGTTGGGTTTTTTCATTCCCGCTTTGATTAGAGTTGTAACTAATATACAACACTCTTCCAGGGTACATCTGCTCTGCTGTCAGCCCAGGCAGAGTAGCTGAGTTTGCTTTACATGAGCTTCTGTAAAGCTGAGTCCCGTCTGATTTTCCTGGTAGGGTGAGGACAGCAGGATCTTGGGTTCCTTACGCTTTGAGTATTTGCTACAGTTGACTAGATTCGGTAAGCTGTTCCTTTGTGTGTATATTTTTGGAAGCCATGATTTTGCAAAGCATGGTGTTATATTGTCCAAAAAATGCAAATATTATCATCAACCACTGCAGAGGGCTCATCCCAAAGGGCAAGCTTATTTTTCTTTAGGAATGCTGGTGCTCGTTTCAATTGCTGTGCTTCAAGGTTTGGCCACTTGGGAAAAGCCCTTACCAAAACTGCAGGTAGTGGAGCACTTTTCCTAGCCAGGGTTCACTCAGTATGGGTTTGGGGTTTTGAGAGTTCTTCCCCACGCTTGTAAGCACAGAGGTTTTTTGCAATTTGCTGTTTAACTATATCACTCTGCTGCTGCTATTTCCTGCTTCATGGTGTTTTGTGAACATTGGCTGAGAGATTTAGGAAGATCTTAAATGTTTTGTTTTAGAAGGTCTGGTATTTTGATTTGATGCTGTTAACAAGGGATGCCCAGAGCATTTGGAGTCATGTAATGAACACCCAGAAACATATTATGCATTCAGAACAGCTAAAAAACTTCAAAGGAAAATAAAACAGTTACAAACAATGCTCTAGTAGCAGCCTGTATTTAAGTAGGCTGTCTGCTGATGGGAATGGACATTGGTAGGAGTGGTTTCAGGAGTTTTTTCCTGACACACAAAGACAGCATTACTAGAATTAACTCACCTTGAATTACCTCAGTCAGTCACTGCAGTTAACACTAAAATAAACAGTAAGTTCTTTGACACCAGTGAACGCATATAAAAATAATCTCTCGGTATTTCCAGTAGTGATTTAAGACAGCAATCAAGAGACAAAAGTAATCAATCAAAATAATTGTTAGCTTTTAGTGAGGTGTGTGTGTGTAGGTTCAGTCCAAAGAGAAACTGTCTATAAACAGAGGGTTGTTTAAATGATTTATGGACCTTCAATACTTTCTTAAATTACAGAAACATTGCTGATTTTAAGAAAATTTAAATAATGTGCTTTCTCTCCCATAGTTCCTCATCTGTCATTTGTAACAGTATTTCTTCTTATCTGATACCTGTGCTTGGTATAGTGAACAGTGGTGCCCCAACCCCATCCTTATCATAAGCATTAACAAAACCAGTAATACATTGGTGGGAATGTTGCTGTTGGGAATGTTGTTCCTGGCTCCAGGTGATGAAATGGTTCTTGGGAAGCATTCACCTTGCCCTGTAAACTCTTGTGGTTTGATATGCAGATTATGGAGCCTTATCTGCAACACTGAGATACAGCAGCTGCCTATCTCTGCAGTTTCAACTACAACTTATAAAATATTAGCATTTTGCCTTACTAACAATTATGCCCAGTAAGATGTTGACTGACTGACCAGTAATATGTATTTTACATAGTGGTGGTCACTCTAAATACTAAGGTATTCTATATATTGAACACTGTAAGAGAAAGTGAGGGAGGAGCATTAATTCAATTTCCAAAACATCAGTATCAATTATTCATTTAATTCATCTCCCACAGCTTCTAAACAATCTCATGTTCAACAGGTTTCTTACACCACTTCAGGAAAGCATTTATATTTTTCATACTTACTGAAATATGTCGTTCAATAATTGTATATTAGCATGTGGTGCTATTGTTTTTTTCCCTGCAACTTCAATTACAGCAGCCTTACTGACTGTAGGAGTATTATTTTTAATGCTATGTAAATTACTGCTAATAAAAGCAAGCTAACATCATGCTTTTAACTGTGTGAATGAAGCCGTCGTTATTCCATTCCTGTTCTGATGAGGCATTGTATCTGAGACTGACTTGTTTACAGTTGGGAACAATAATTTTTCATATTGAAGTGTATATGAAAGTACTCTAGAACTTAATTAGAGAGGGGAAGAATAGTCTGTCCACTGAATGAATGTTCTTTGTTGCTCTCAGTCTTGGTTTGTCCCTCCTGGCTTTGTTTCTTCATCTAGTCCCAGGATTTCAGTACATCTTGTAGCTCTGCAGCAGCAGGGGGAGTAGTGTAGCTTTATTTGGGGGCTCTCCTTGACCAGCGCTGGAGTGAGTTGGTATCAGCTGAGAGCAGTGCTGGTCAAGCTCAAAAATCAGTATCAGAAATTCTGCTTCACTCTCCCTGTATGAGCTGGAAGCAGGATTCTGCAAGCTTTGCCATTTCCCCAGACCTGTAGATGTACGAGTGTACCTGCTACAAGCAAAGTGTGACAGGTGTTCGTGTGGTCAGGACAGTCAGACTCCCAGCCGGAGGCTGGAAGGCATTTTGGGACTGGTTCAGCTGCTTGATCAGAGCTGGGCCAGCACCCAGTGCCTGGCAGGGCTTTATCCATTTTGGTCTTGAAAGCCTGCAAGGATGGAGATTCCTCTGCCTTTCTAAGTTACCTATTCTGATGCTTAAATATTTTCATAGTGGAATTTTTTTTTCCTTATGCTGCCCCACTGTCAATCCCGTTCAACTGGAGCTCTGTCTCATGACCATTGTTCCTTGTTCCCCTGCTGTGCACCTCTCTGAAGGGGCTGCCTCATCTCACATCTCACTTTGTCACCTACATATTCTATTGTGAAACAGTTTTAGGGGATATTTTCTACTGTTTTTTTGCATTTCATAGATTTCTTACTGAAATTTCTTTTTTGTCAATGACAACACAAAATAAAATATCATCAAATATTCCTATTTTTCTAAGACCATTGTACTGTTAATTCATTCTCAGTGTGTTATCTCCTAAAACACGTATATCTTTCCTAGGAGCAGTAGTGTCGGTTCTTTGTGTATCATTCTGTTGCAACAAACATCTTGGACTTTTGTTTGGCTAGGGGAAGGAGAGAGTGTAGAGAGTAAATTTGAAAATGCAATCACATACATGGTGGAGAGCAAATAGCATAGTAATATGTGTGTATTCTCATAATATGTTTAGGAGAAAGTTAATTTTAAAATTTAATTATTGTGTATTGCAGTATTATGTTGGCCAAATTTAGATTCGTGGAATTCTTTTGCACCTTTAAACTTCTGTTGTTTTTATTTGCAAGTCAGTTTAATCTTGTGCAGCACATAATATGTGAGTGTGTTGCCATATGAATTTATGATAAAAATACTATGTTTCATGTATCTGCCCAACTCTTCTCTAGTAAGAAAGTGTTAAGATATTGTGTTAGTGCCTTATAATTACAGCTGCCTTACATTTCTTGCATTTGTTGAATTAGTTCCTTGCATACCTTCTCAATATAAAAATGTTATTTAGATACGTTAATGACATAATAAAATAAACAGTTTAAAAATTACATTCCTATATATACGTGTATGCAGGATGAAGTCCGAGATCAGGATGATGTAGGTGGAAAGAAGATTACTACTAAGACATTTCTTTCTCTTTCCCAAATTACTGCCTTGTCAGAAGAAAATCTGGAGGGAGTTGAAAAGTAAGTAGCAATGACAACAGTGCTGGGACCCATATAATAACGAAATAAAAATTGCAGACTATTTGTTAGATTTCTTTCATGGTGGTATGTCATTAGTCTTTAAATGTTCAGTTAAGTCATTGGTATTTAATATTATTCACAAAAGATGGAAGAAATACTTTTGATCTCAGATCAACTCTGGTTTACTGTTTTTCCTGTATCTTGATTTTGCTTAGACTTCTTTTTTTCCACTTGTATTTTATCTTGTTGTGGTTTCTGAATTTACAATACCTTGAAAAACACTATAAACAAAATACTAAGATGTAAATAAGAACAGGCTGATATTAAGCTTTTTCTTGTAAGTCTCACTGGGTAAGTTTTTTTTCTAAAAACATTCAAGATTCTACTTGAGATTCTAGCATGAGTTACAAAAAAAATCAAAAAGGTCTTAAAAGTTCAGCAAGGGATGGAAAGCTTAAGAAGGCATTAGTGGGTCGCCACTATGGTGTACTGGGGAAATGGGATGCAGCCAAAGACTTCTGATGTCAGGCTTTGTCTTTCCTGTACCAACAATTTCCCTTGTTATTAGTGTTCAATAGCAGCTAAATTTAGGAGGCCAGGAGTTCAACCTGAAAGTCTATATTTATATTTGCAAGGTGGGACTTTTCAGAAGTGCAAGAATTATTTAGGAGCACTTGTCTGCTAGCAGGTTCTTAGGGAATTGAAGGCCAAAGGACTGGTCTGCTTGTCTAGTTTGGGGGGTATATAAAATCCAGCTTTGTTCCTCTGAATAGGTAAACATTACTAGAAATCAGAATATTCCTGAAACATATTCTGTTCTTCCTATTCTAGGGAGAAAAGGTCTTTCTGGGATTTTTTTTTTTTTTTTTAGAAAACTGGAAAGAAAATTTGTTACCGTCAAATAATAATACAAAAATTCCTTCTTTTCTTGTTTTCTCTTGCACAATAGGCCTCTTTAAATTTAGAGGAGATTGAAGCGTACAACTCATGGAGACTAAAATTTGCTTAACGACACAATTCTTTGCGCAACTTTCTTATTAAGATTAAAAAGAAAAATGCTGAAAGGTCATATGCTCTTTTAGTCTCACCTGATCACATAAGTATTTTTATATACACACTGTACAAGGGGAATGTAAAGTATATACTGCATCTGACTGGAAGGAGCACAGTTACAGGGTATTTTATGCACATTAAGCAGTTTAGCAGCAGCATTAAAATTTTGTTTACCACAGTGCATTGTGTCTATTTACAAGAGTAGTTTGAAGACCACAGCTAAGGTTAGAAAATCAGAATATATTTGATTCAATATGAGAGTTTTGAAGTCCTGCATTCCCATCTATCAGGGAGTTTTGCACTGCTGTCCATCTTCATGAGACTTGAGCCCTATGAAGAAAGAAAAAGCAGGGAGGGTAACTATAAAATTGAACTGCCCCATCATTTCACAGTCATGTACAGATACTGTTGTTAGTGACATACCTTACAGAGTATTGAAAAGATGAGCACTGGCATTGTTAGTAGAATCAGAGAAAATCTAAATCCCTGAGAAGCTCTGATTATGAAAACACAGAGTTGGCAGAAGCTTCAGAGAGAGAGGATATGGAGTATTTCAAATCTTGGAAAGTTCAGCTGGCCACATTCCATTTCTATTCCAGGACACAGTTAAGTGTTTTTAACCAACTTGCATATGTGCAGCCGTACAAATTTGTCATGCAGAACAAAGGAATACATGTTCTAAACAAAACTGATTGGATTATATGCTTTATTCTGTTAGCAATTGAGGCTTTAATTAAAGAAAGAAACTCATCTCATTTGACAGTCTATCTGTACCATGTCCATGAAACCCCTGAAAAATCTAATGGCTGCGATCAGTAAGTCTAGGATTAATGTCCTTCTTAGAAAGGAATGAGAAAGCAGCAGGGCTTGAGAAGACCTTGCTTTTTTACAGGGGACTAGAAACTGTGATCACTGGCACCTGTATCCTCAGCTGTAGTCAAGAATCCAAGGATTGCTTTAATGTAAAACTTAACTACCTGAGACGGCCGAAGCTATACTGGAAGAATTAACCCAGTTCTAGCCTCAGTCCCCTCTCTTCATGTGGCAAAAAGCACGCAGCTGTTATAAAAGGAGTAACTAATTCTATGTTTGGATAGAATAGGCATAAATGTGTCAGCAACAGTATGGCCTTCTATAAGGGAGTGTATTTTTTCATAAATTTTGAGTTAAAGTAAGTGGAAAAATTTTCATTATGTGCCAATAAAATGGGGTAAGGCTCTTTTGTTTTGACCATTATGGAAGTGTAATTTAATCTTCTAAATATTTTAGCTACTTTCAGTAATTATATATTATAGTATTTACATGAATTTTCAAATCTAATTTTTATCAGAGGCCACATGAAAAATAATCTTGAAATGGAAACAAGATCTTATTACTACTGTAAAATTACCTAAATCAGGGTGAAAGCATGATAGTGAAAGGTGGAAACTAGTTGTGTCGTTTCATCCTACAAACCAGTTCTTTATGAAACACTCTTTTTCTCTGGAATTTTCAATGTATTTCTCTTTGGTGCTGTAATGCTCTAATTTTTGTTCTTTTGTTAGTCATATCTTAACACTTCAAGGGTGTCTGCTGAAACCTGCAAGTAATTGTTTACTTTTTGATATGTCCTCTGATCATAAATGTAGTTAGGAATTGATGTAGCTAAATTCAAGAAATTATATACATATGCACAAATGAATAATATAGCAACTAAACAAGTGTTATAGATTTAATTGCATGCAGACCAAGTAAGACTTTGGAATCTGTAATTTATTTTTTAATTTCGTTATTTTACTCTGCAATTTTTTTAGGAAGATGGAAGAATTTCTGAATCTTACACAACTTAAGACATCTTTGAAAGAAGCTATTTTACTAGATTATTATACTGCAGGATTTTGGTGGGCTAAAGAAATGAACTTCAGTCTTATCCAGCTCTCAGGATTCATGGATCTATTAAATTTTGCCTTGGAGAACCTCAGCAGTAAGTATAATTAAGACTAATAAAATAAATATCTAAAGTGGAAGGCAAGAATGTTTCCAGTCATTTTAATAAAGTCATATTTAATTGCAAATAATTGTGAAATTATTTATTTTCCTCTTGAATTGGTATGTTGGTATGTTAGACCTTGTGCATGAAAATAATTCTTACTGGCAGATACCAAGTCTTTTGAGTAGAATATTCCTTGTTCTTTGTTTGTACAGTATGTGGTACAAATAGGCCAGGTCCTGAGGAGACCTTTTCTTTGCTATGGTAAAATAAATAATTACAGTAGAGTGAGAGCAAGGTGCTCCTAAATTCCAGTTCCAGCTTTCTCAGTGACTGACTCCCTGTAGCCTTGGGAACATTTCTCTGCTATTTGAGATATTCAGTACATCCTGTAGTATTACAGCAGGTGAATTACATTTTTTTATTCTTGGAGGTCAACTCTCAGCTTTCTATATAGCAAATGCTGTACTTCTGGAACAGAATGTATGTTAACTAAGGACTGATGAGAGAAGTAAACTGGCGTTGCTGCTGAAGATGAAAAATGACAATGAAGGAACTGTAGCTCCTGTGGCTACGAGGAAATTTGCCACAAAACTTAGTCTAGTGGGAATGAAATAGCCAGAAAAAAAATGGTAGCACTGTCCTTTGAAACCTTCTTTGTCAGAGATTCTAATGCTTCCTTAACATTCACTTTGAAGGTGATTATGTTGAGAAGAGTCCATCCCAGAGGAAGAGTGAAAGGACTCAGCAGTTTGATTCAAAAGAGAAGGCGAATCTTTAAAATCAAGCTCATAATAATTATTATACTCTTTCACTGTAATTTAGTTCAAGGGCCTTTCTGACATGGAATTTTGACAGAATACGTACATGCTTTCTGATCCTTGGAATGCCATTTGTCCTTCCTGTTTCCAATGAGAAAGTATCTTAACATATGCTAGCGATATTACTATAACAATGGAGCAGAATGGAAACCCATCAGAAATTAGTTTTATGAGACCATGTAATACATGTGTACATGACAGGCTGGTAGCACAACCAGTTATTAAAGCTGACTGACATTTTTCGGAAACGTCATCTTAGTTGCATAAAGCTTTGCCAAACTTTTAACTCTTTAAGCTGAAATTTTCCATGGCCCTGTCTGCTTGTGGTGAATTTTTATATATAAAATTGCAACTGAACCAGTTCAGTGGGCTTGCAGACAAAGACTGTGGGAAAAAGAACCTATTTTGTGTCTTTTCTTTTAACAGGTATAATGCCACAGTGCTTTGAGATAAAGGTTTGGCAAACAAATGTTGTGAATTTGATTTTTTGCTGTCCTGTGAAAATCCATTTGGATGGCATTTAGTTGGCTAAGATAGATTTGATGTCTAGAGAAAGAAAATGTCGTTTTTAAATGCTTGCAGGAAACTTCTTATATTTGCTTCACAGCCCAGGGCTGAGATGAATTTTCTTGTAATTACCAAATGTTTCAACTAAAAGCAAAATTCTAGTGTCTTCTATATTAATGATCCTTTCTTTTCCTTTCTCTGCCCTGGACCCAGTCAGCCTGGAGAATTAAGCTGACTTGGCCATAATAGCAAGAGTAGCATTGAGCAGGAGGAACGGATTTAGAGGAGGAGAGTAGTGGAAATGCATTTAAGGCTGGTAAAGCGGCAAGGAAACTGAAGGCCTTTCTTGATGGGGAGTCAGAATGAGTTATATGATTTGATTCTCTTCTATCCATTGAGGCTAAAGTGCTCCTTATCTCATGGAAATGCTGCATGAGTCTTCTTGAGACAGGTGGTAGGGACTGAAAATGAGATGTGCAGACAAGAGAAAATTTACATAAGTTGGCAACAGACTCAGGGCCTGAGTGATACTGTTATGTGCCTTTACTTCCCTACAAAGGGTGGTATTTCTGTTTCTGTTGCTTTTCCTATGGCTTCTATTTCCTCTGCCTTTTATGGTTATTTATATTGTGCTGCCTCTCTTACTGAAAAGTGAGGTAAAATTTTCAAGCCTTTGAATTCTGTACTAAAGGGCAAAATGATAAAAGAACAGAAGTCTTCTAACTATTTTAATTTGTTTTCTGTACAAAAGAGCCAAGGAGTGTATCAGTAGAGACATAAAATGAGGAAAATGAATCTATTTCACCACTGTTGGATATTCCCCCATGTTTTTCTGTTGATTTTTTTAGACGTAAAATGAAAAAATAAATTGTATTTGAAGCCTTTATTTATTTTTTTAACTTCCCGTGGTTCTAGTGATAGCAGACACTCTGCAAATCAGAAAGATGAATTCTTTCCTATAAAATATAGGTTCAGCAAGCACTGATACATTTCAGATTGTCCTTTGTCAGGATAGTTATCAAACAGAATTTAAATTTTAATTCCAACCTGTTTTGGCATTTGGTTTTGATTTCCAGGATAAAAATGTAAAGTAATTATCTTGTTTGGAAGGATGCAGAAATGTCTCCAAGTTTGATGATACATGCAGGGTCTTATGCATATTCATGTTTAATCTAGACTGAAAGCACTTTAAAATATTCTTTGCCCTTTTTAGTATCTGTTCCTGTGTTAATGGCTTATGTTGCAAGGGGCATGGTAAGAAGAATAATCTTTTATAATTTATAAGCAGTAGGCTATTTTAAAGAAAAACATTCTCTGCCTCTCAAATTTGCATATTATTCTGCCTGTGGTTCTCTCAGCATGGGTAAGAGGTGAAGCTGTAGTATCATGAACATCCATTATTGTGATCCTTCCATTTTGGAGGTAGAGTGGTGGTTTTGTGGTGTAATTTTGACGGACACTTTGTTGATGGGAATAATGGCAATAAAAGGCTTTGATTGCTGTTGTTTTTTATGTGGTGGGTCATAACTAAAACTTCAATAAGTCTTATAATTAAAATGGGTCAAAAAACCCCTTCCCCCTTGTTGTGTTATACATAGTTTTTGTTCTTTGGGATTACTTTGCAGGCGAACGTATGACCTTGGGAGATAATTTAAAAGAACTCGAAAGAGCAATGTCTGGAATAGGAGAAACTGAGTCAGAAGAAAGAGGTGACCTGAATTTATTCAGCATTGAGCAAGCCAAATCAATCATTGATTACTTGGTTACCAGGTATTTATTTCTACAGAATCTGGTCTTATTTCAGTAATCTGATATATTGAAATGTATTATATATTTCTTATAGGGGAAGTGACTGATAAAATAACAGTAACAACAGGAACAACAACATCAACATTTTATTATTATTATTACACTACTATTGCTATTACTAGTATGAAAAAGAAGAGAGGATATGCAAGGAGCAGTAAAGATCAGGCCTCAGATGTCAAAGCCGAGAAAATAAATTTAGACTGGAAGTTTATCAAAAAGTAAGATTAAAGATTATGCTGAAAATATTCCTTTTGGATTTTGTTTCAAGAAAACAGAATTGTGTATGGGCAATATTCTTGTTTTGCTTTTAAAAGCTACTTTTAGATTCCATCTGAATAAAATTGTGGGTCTTATTTATCTTATTTAGATCATATCTAAAGTCTGTTACTCTAAGTATTTGTCTGGCCTTGACAGTTATAGTGGACTGAAGTAATTTAAAGTTTTTTGCTTACAGAATTAAGGTTCTGATTATATAGGAGTCATAAAAATGTTGCATTTCAAAATCAGCAGAAATCCAGTATGTACATGAAAAAGTTTTGTGCCGGGTCTCAGCTTTTAAACAGAGACACAGAAAGCAATGCAAACAGAAGTAAATTCATTATTTATTTGAGAAAAATAATACTGATAGTAACAGTAATGTCCCTGTATAAAGTTTTTTCTGTATAGCAATGAGTGCAGTTAACCACTGGAATGCCATGGTTAAGGCAGTGGCTGTACTGGCATACCCCTGTTTGCAATACTTGATGGACAGAATGGTTCTCAAGCTGTTTAACCATCCATGAATGTCAGGGGCAAGGAGATGGAAAATTAATAAGTTACTCCAGTAGTATATGCTCATCCACTGTACTGCAGGTGTAGCCTTTCAGCCCATTTTCTGACCCAAATGGGGGTGATGGGGGGTGATGGGGGGTGGGGGGATATGTGACAGATGGACATAAAAATTGAGTAAGATTATGACTGATCCATATGTAGATTTGTTGGGAATTTTCTGACTATTCTTTAGGAAAAGTTTAACACAACAAAGAGGGGGTTTTTAAAGTGTTTTCCTGAATGCAGAAAAGCGTTTTCTCTTGAAGAAAGGCAAAACACTAGGATAGCTATTAGCCTTCAGTTTAGAGTACTTGGATTTAGATGGGGATTTAAACCCATTGCATGTAATTTCTCTTACAATTGGGCTATAAAATATGTCTCTTTCTCCTGCTTTCTAATTTTTTTTATTTTATTTCTTTTTCATGGAAAATATAAAACTCTTAAGGTTCTTCCCATAAGAAATAAGAACATCTCTTGAAATCTCAAATTTCTGTAGTCAAGGCAAACTAATGTCCTGCCAAGTACTAGCCCTAAACTAAAAGGAAACTTGGCATTTAAGATGTCTCAACTCCTTTTACTTCTGTCTTCCTGTCTGTCTTTTGTATATTTATATGTATGTTTATATGGAACAAATGTTCTTTCCAACTAGCATGTCTGTAACTCTTGTGTAAATTATCCATTGAGAGATATCTTGTCTGTGAAGTAATTCCTTCACAGTCAAAAGAATTTAATCCAAGAGATTAGGTGCTCCATCCTACTTCCACCAAAGTATTAGCTGGAAAGGAATACAATCAAGTTACAAAACTTTGACAGCAGAATGGTATTTTGGTCACCAAATATGTGGTTGTGCATTCAAACTGCTCAATTTATTACAAGTGTGTGCTGTGGCAACATCATGGATGTACACACATACCCTGAAATGTATCAGGTTTCCAGTTTATACAAGCCATTCTTTCAGTCACTGGAATATTTTTTTCTAAATAAGAATGGAATTGGCACACTTGAATGGGTGTACTTTAAACTTTATGAACTCAGAAATGGTTCGAGTTTTATTAAAATTGAAACTAATATATTAATTCAATACATTTTTTCTTGTTTAATTTTAAATGATAAGCCTGTAGTTTTTTTCCTACTCAAGAGAGTATGATATGTTGTAGTTCAGATCATATTTTTACAGATGGAGGTGTAAACCCCTGGGATGTATAATGGAAACAAAGGGACAAAGGCTTAACCACATGGGCACAAACTGTGCGGCAACTATAATGACACCTTCAGGTTTGGTGGAAGGTGACAGTTGTCATCTTTTTATCTTGTGTCCTTGGGCAAACACACATCAACATAGCTCCTGACATTTTCTTTTCAGGAAGAAGTGGAGCTGGGGAAATATGTCACTGTTAATCACCTTCAGATTCTCATGACATCATAAGAGGGCCTATTCTTAACAATGTTACTTACACAAGTAAAATTATTTATATGTAATTGCTAGAAACACTGATATGGAACTTTTAAATTGTTCACAAGAAATAGAAACAAAAAGGGGCATTTTGTATAATGGCTGATATGAGAAAGAAAGCGACACTGTTTTTTCTAAATAAATGCTGATGTCTAATTTATGTAATTTGATTTAAAGAGCATTAAATGGAGGAATTTTTTCCTTCATACAGGACTGGGGTGCCAGGTTGAACAGAGATCTATTTGAAAATAAAGACATAAAATTCGGAAATGCCAAAAAGAATTACTTATATTTTGGGGTATATATTTTAAATTATACAAACCTGTAACATAATTCATAAAGAATATCATAGCACGTTTGGTGGGTAAGGGGAAGGAAAGGACCTGACTTTTAGGTGCTGTAAATCTGGCTTATTTCCAAAACACTAAGATAAGAGAACAAATTGAAATATTAATTTCTGCCAATCTGATTGGAAGGATATATGTCTTATTTCCTGTGTGTCTGTGATGTTCATAAAATGTCTTTTGTCTTTTTCCAAATAATCCCTGTTAGAATTTTACCAAATTGCAGGTGTGTATGTAAGGGGACATATATTTACATAAATCAGTGTGAGTCATTTCCAGGTTAAGTCCTGAGCTCTCTTTAAATATAATTTCTGTGTCTCCACTGAAACATGTCAGGAATTCTTTGGTGAAGTGCTGCAATAAAAATGTACTTAAATGGAATTTCAAATACTGTAAAAACTTAATTAATTGCCTGTGTGCTCTGGGTTTGGGGGAAGGTAGCCTCTAGCTGATGGTAGCCAGACTTCTTATGTGGGCCTTGCCGGTACCAAGCCAAAGGTATTGCTGACCCAACTGATGGGTCTCTCAAGAATAGAACCTCTGTTCTGTCTCTAGCCAGCAAGCACAGGAACCAGTTACAGATGTTCCCTGCAAATATTGCTGTACCTTTCACGGATACAGCAGGCAGGACAGCAATAAATTCTTGGAATCATTCTTCAACCTGGACTTGCTATGAAATCACAGAGCAATGTTTTAAATCATATGTCAAAATGACATGACAGAAGCCAGGAGGTCTGTATCATGATTGTAAGAGAAGAACTAATTGTAACAGACTGTGACAAACAAAACTTCTGGTTAAGCAAATGCTGTATCATTAGAAAAGGAAATAAAGAAAATTATTTAAAACCTATGAAATGGAAAGCCAAGCCATATGTGTTTTAAGGAAGATAAATAGATTGACATTGACAAAGTCTATTTAAAGTTACTTTTGTTGTAATACACAAAACTGCTGTGTGTTAATTTAGTTTTTTAGTTTTCCTTTGAGGAAATACTACATTGATTTTGCAAAGTGACCCTGAGAGAATAAATACTTTTATTCTTTATTGTTTTGGTGTTCCAAGATCAAACTTTCTCCCTGTACTGGCAGCCTATCCCAGAATCTGAAAGCTGATTTGGCTTTGTTTCCTTCTTGTCTGCTATTGCTGATAATAAAAGCCTAAGTATCCTGGTGATAAGTGTTTCAGGAATTACTTTTTTCAGAGTGGAACTTTGTCTTCTCAGAGTTCAATTTCATGAGGATTAACGGAATGTATTTTCTACAGCCATCTGATAAAAAACGTGAAAACTAAACATGCTGCAGGGTAAATCTGAAGTTAAAAAAACGTGTAATACTGTTACCTTTCCAAAAACTTACAGCTGTGATATTCTATGTTGTGTTGTTTTTCAGTTTATTTAAACACTATAAAGCATATGAATACCTCTTCCACAGTCGTAGAGAAGAACCTGTGATAAGTAATGAGGTGAGTCATTTATATAGATGGAAGTCATTATGCAGAGTTACTTAATGAGTGCACCGTGACACATGTTTTATATTGCTCAAAGCAGCTTCATGTCAACATCCCTGCATTATTAACTTAAAACGGCTGATTAAAGACTGCAAGTTAAGATGTTTTGATCCTCATATTCAAAATTAATTTGGGATTTCAAAAAAGTGTGAATGCATTGCTTGGTTAAGTCGTTAGTTGTGTTAAATCAGGTTGTGTAGGTATTTGTATGTTTAGGCTTGTAATTTGAGTTGGCAACATGAGTCTGACTCTTTTAAAGTCAGCAGTCAAAATCAGAAATGTATGCTGTTCCTAGTCTCACCATAGTCCTAGTAGAGATGTATGCATGTGCATGTACAGAGTTTTGTTTCTGCTGTAGCCACCAAGAGTTAATTATACTTATTATAAAGAAAGAAGCAGGCTAGAAATTGAGCATTTTGAAAGAATTCAGTTAACAATAGTGAGTTGGCTTCACAGTGAGCTTTGTCATGTGTTCTAACATGTGAAAAAATGCATAAGAAAATGTGTGGATGCAGAATGTAACCTTTATTCAAATGGACAGGTTCAGTCAATAAAATAAACCTTCTTTTAGCCTGACTGTGCTTTTTGAGGATATGTGTTATAATGCATTTTAAAAAATTGCATTTTAAATTTGTATTAGGAGCCAACTGATTGCCCAGAGAAGCCCAGTAGTGTAATATTTTTGATGGTACTTATATTTTAGCTTATCAGTACACAATGAAGTTAAAATTAGTGCACTGGAAAAATTCCTTTACACTTTCAGCTGGTGTTTTGACTCTGGTGATGTGGGATAATTGCTTTCCATGTTGCTTTTAAGTAGCCATATTATAAAAAAAGATTTTTTTGGTATGGATGCAAATATTTAGAAATTATTCTTGTCATTTACAAGGTGGGTTAAAATTCCAACTATGATGAAATTGGTGACAAAACTGTCAATACAAAGGTAGAGCAGAAGGTCAGCATTACTATGTGAGGGTGGGTGGTTTATGTTAGGTGATCAGATCTATGGGTAGCACTTCTTAATTGGTAAAATCAATTTTAATGAGGCTTTGCTTAAGGAATTCTTGTGTACACTTGAATCATTAGTCTTAGAAGGTTTTAGACTAGCCTAAGAGAAATGCCTTTGTGTTTCCTGAATAGTCCTTTCTGGGTGGGTGAGATCATCATGCACTGTCCCAGCTGCAGAACAGGGGTTGCCCTGGGCAGGCTCTACAGGGGAGCACCACCTCTGCTTGAGGGTACCAGCACCTCTGGGCAATGGTAGGAATGGATTTCAGGGAATGACTTCAGAGATGATCTGTCCAAGCAACAAGTGCCATCTGCAGCTTGCACCTGTCACAAAACCCTGCATGACAATCTTTAGCTGTAACTCCTTTACAGCCTTTTCTTACCTATGGTGCCACTTCACTGTAATCCATCTGTTTTGTATTCTGAGCTCCATGGCAGAGAGCTTTTAATTTGTGCAACTACACTCCAACACCCAAGAAAATCAATACTTATATTCTGTTAAAGTTCATTTTGATAGGGTGATGCATTGTTCTTCAATAAGTAAAAGTTTAAGGTATTGAAGCTGCACATACAAATATATGGCATTATTTTCACTTTCTTTATGTATTAAAATGTGAGGCGAGGTGAACTCAGCATAGACTTCAAGTTATTTTACTGTAACTTTGTTTTATTTTGTAATTCTTGCTCATAAAAGAGATCGTTACTTCTATTTTGCAGTCCCTTAGATGAACAGTTTTTTGGGCTGCCGTGGTTTGGTGTGTATGGCTGTGGCAGGAGTACTCCTGGGGTCATTTGCTCTGCAGTGCATCTGCTCCGGGAACAGGAGATCGACTGGGAAATCCATGTACCGAAAGTAGATAGTGAATTTGTGCTGAAAGCTTGACTGCTGTCCTGTTAAGTAGACCAATGTCTTACCAAAAAAATAAAAAGACCACTGCAGACACACCACAGCCCAAAAGCTGGATGTGATCCTGACTCTAAGCTGAGTGCAACTAATGTCTAAAAAGTTTTCCTTTAGCTGCAGCAATAGAAGCCTCTTCTTTTGGAACAGGACACTGTAAATTGTAATGTCCAGATTTGCCCAAATAATAAGAACCATGGTGTTCCAAGAGCTTAATTTACAGGATTATCTCCTTTTGTAAATGAACACTTTGAGACGAGTCAGTCAAATGACTTGCCTCAACAGAACTGATGTGCTTCCACTGAAATGGCTTTAGCTCAGCGAGTATGTGTGCCAAAAAGAATTACCTACGGAATAAAAGCCCAACAGCCTCAGGAGAGGATCCGCTTCTTTAACAGAGATGCAGCTACAACAAATAAAAGCTGTACTCAGTGTTGTAATGGATACCCTTTTAGGGAAACCACAGTGTGTGTTTTCCAGAGAAATCTTATAGCAATGGGTTGTAAAGTCATTGGATTTTTTTTCTCTAGCACAGGCAATTATATAGTGTTCTCAATCAAGTTTCCTTTTTGATCTTTCACTGCAGTTATTTCCAAATGACCCTGTCATTTCCTGTGTAGAATAAAATCAGACAAGAAAAGGGAAATTACTCAAAACTCAGATCATGCATACAATATCTGTGGTTGTGCTATTTAACAAAGTCTAAGTTATTTAAAAGTAGCACATAATTAGTGGAGCTTTACAGTCTGATTAATATTCTGCATTTGATGCAGCTAGCATAATAAAGCCACCTCTGTAAAACACAGACAGTGTTTGAGTCTTAAAAAAAGGTAACAAATGCCAGGCTAATTTAATTTTTATTTTTTTTTGTATTGGCTAAAGCCTTTAAACCTCAAACTGCCTAAAGTGATTGTATTGCCTAGGAAAAAAAGGTTAAAACAGAAAGACATGAATGCTTGGTTAGATGATAAAATACACATCACACTTCTAACCTACTTTGACAGTATTTAAAATTTAAAACTTGCCTTTCTAGCTATCAAATCCCTTACTTCTCCTTTATTCCAGATCTACAAAGACCTATATATTATGTATGCATGAATACCTTTTAGAAAACATGATGGTACAAGGAATTGCTGAGAAGTGTTAAGACTGCTAAGTAAATTCATTGCTTTTTTTCTTGTTACTATTATGAGCAGTTCCCCCCATTTAGAATGATTACAGGAGGTGCTTTAGCTGTTCTATGGCTATGATCCAAAATAAAATGGAAGTAGTGCTACCATATCAGAGTTCTTCGGGAATATTGCTGTTAAAGATCCTGTTTTTTTCCTTCTGCCTGTTCTGGACATTTTGCTCTCTAGCTGCGATTTAATACACCTATATTAGCTCACAGTTTCAAGGCAAGCAAAAGGAGTACAGACTAAATATTGATGTTCAGGGATTCAATGGAACAATTCCTATTAACACATCGGATCTTACAACAAAGGTTTAAATTCTTAATGCATGAATTGTGTAGAAGTTTTTATTCTTTTCTATTTCTACATTTTGTTAATTTATTTTGCTTTGATAGGGTGATATATTACAATATATTTTGCAATTTTTCATATCTCTCATTGACAAATTTTCCCATATACTGTAGTTCATGGTTTTTGCTGCTCTTTGTTGTGTATTTTTGCATGGTATGAGGCTAAGATCTTTTGGGATTATGTCTGCTTTGAAACATTTCCTAATAAAAATAATGTGGTTGGTAAATCTTGTTTTATTCCTAGTTGCTTTAGCCAGACTGATGGAGTAATCTGCTATTTTATGGCCCAGATGACTAGCTGAGTTTGACTTCTTGAAATACTAGTGTTCAATGTAATTTTCTTTAGAGATGTCATAGTGGGTCAGGTTGCAATAAAAATATCGAAGATTAAATTTAATGGCAGTGCAGATTCAGTATTGTAGCAGTTACTAGATATCATCCTCTGTACTTAATAGTTCCAAACTAGTTTCCATGAATGTACTCCTTACTTTCTGAAGCATTAAGCTTTTGGACTATGTCTGGTCCTTATCCAGTTATGGGTTGGGTTGATTTTCTTTTTTTTAAGTTTGAACAAAATCCCTTCTTTGTTTGAATTTCAGGAGGTGGATAGAAAGAATATGCTTTTTGAAAGCTAATAAAACTGTTTTTCTTCTGATGGCAAAAACCCTAAAGTCTGGGACTTGACTTTGATATGTAATCCTCATTAGGTGTTGCATATTTAGATTGGTTAATCATTGTTTAAACAAACTTGCTTCATGGTTTCTTGAAAACTGTGTTTTAGAGATGTATGAAACCAGAACATTTCCGTAAGTATATCAGTATACACTACAGAAACTCATTCTCCAGCTAATGGAGTGCTTTTCAAAGCCTGAAGGTTTCAGATATTTTTAATGTCTGAAAACTAGTTGAGTTGATTTTTTGTAGCTTTGTTTTCTAAATATCATGATGGCAAAGACATCAAGAAGAGCATAGGACTGGAAGGGGTGCCTTCAATTGTTAGCTATCGTGCTGCTTTCTCATAGGGAAACATTCATAATCGTCTTCAGAAACCTATCAAACTCCAGTTTATAAAGTTAATTTTTTTTGTCTTTGCTCCTTCATTTAGGAAGTGCCCTGATGCCTGGTTTCTGTAATTGTTATAAAATTTCAATTTCTAGTCTGAGTGTATTCATAACAAGCTTATGTGCGTTTGTCCTTGTGCCAATTTGTGCCAGTATTGACTTTCAGCTCTCCTTCCATCCCCAGTGTTTATTTTTCTAGTATATAAAGAGACAGCAACCTTATTGTCAGCCTTCATTCAGCTAGACTAGAAAAGCCAGCCTTCTCTAATCTTTGCTTTAAAGGTAGACTTTGATACATGTGTGCTTACATCCGTACCAGCCTCTTGTCATCCTGTTGGCCTTCTTCTATAATTGTTCCACTTTAAATCAGTTTTGTTAAAACATAAGTGACCAAAGAAACACAATATTATTGCCGAGATAAAAGCAAGGCCTTGTAAAATATCAATAGTGTTTTCTTTTCCTC